GAAAAAATTAAGTTAAAGGCATTAAAATTTTTTTTAAAAGCTTTTTTAAAAAACCCAGTTGTTTTGCAGTTTAGCCTTGATGCTAATTTAAAATTGGTTTTAAAGGGGTTCCCTGTTAAATTTTTTGGGAAAATGAAAAATTTACAATTATTTTTAAAAGGAACTTTCTAAAAAAAAAACTTTTAAAAAATTTACAATTGGGAAAGGGGAATAAAAAGACTATCAATAGGAAGGGAACCCAAAATAAAAAAAAAACAATATACGTTTCATTAGATGATAATGAAGAAAAAACATTTTTGATATCCCTTTAATGAAAAATAAAAAAAATTTGGGTTTCACAAGGGGTTAAAAAAAATTTCCCAAAAAAATTTCCAAAATTTAAGAGGGTTTGAAGGGATACAAAAAAACCAACAAATGTTAAATGAATATTTAAAAAACTGTGTTTTTTAAAATTAAATTTCAATTTTAAAAAAAAGATAAATTAATAATGTTGGTAGTCAATTTTAAATTATCACAGTTATGATCTAAAAAAATTTTTAAGCTTCAAATGAAAAATATCAGCAATTGTGAAAAACATTGCATGTTAAATTATATGCACAAAAATTTAAAGTAAAAACTTTTTTTAAATTTTTTCCTATGTTTTTAATTTTAAATAAATTTTTCAAAAAACACAAACTAAATGAAGACCAATTCCCAAAGGGGTTTTAAATTAAATTAAAAAAAACCTACAATCATTTAAAAAAAACATGGAAAACCCAAAAAGCGGGAAAGGGAAAAACAATGCAAACAATTTTACATTTATATGAAAAACCAAGTTTAAAAAAAAATTTTAAAAATGTTTTCCCCACATTATGAAGTTATAAAACCCATATTTATCACAAAGTATTTTTCCCTTTTTATGAAAAAAGGGTAAATTTTTCAAAAGGGTTTTGAAATTCAAAAAAAGGAAAAAAAAATTTCAAAAAAAATTTAATTGAAAAAGAAAACATTTACTTTTTAAAAAAAAAAATCCCTTTACAAAAAAACCCTTGTTGCATTGATTTAAAAAAATTTGGGAAAGACAGATTTTGAAATTTTTCCCCCAAAAAGGAAAAAAGATACCCAGTTTATTTTATGCAAAAAAAAATTTTAATAATTCCCAGTGTTCAATAACTAAATTAAAGGGACTTTTACTCAAATCTAAAATAGGTAAAATATCAAAACTGAAGCAAAAGATTATCAACAAACAAGAAAAAAGGACATGTGAAAAACTTAATTGTGTAAAACCAATTTTAAAACTACTTTAATTTTACCGGGATAATTTCCCATAAATAAAAAAGGCCCATGTAAAGTAAAAAAGAAAAAACTTGATTTTTTCCATTTTTGGGAACAACTTATGTCTTCTTTAAGCTCTAAAGAGCTCTGTTCAAGGAAACTTTGAATTATTGAAGGCTGAGCAATTACACTGGATTTAGAATTAAAGTTGATAACTCTCAGGCCCTTTGTTTGACGTGCTCTACCAAGAGCAACTCCCAATTGCCCAGGTTTAAATATCTGGTGGCAATCTACCTCTAGTCTGAAAACATTAAATAACTCAATGCAATTTTTTCTTTAATCAACATCATGTCATACATTTTTGTTTGTATTAAAAAAAATTTTACATTTCAGAAGCAGTGTATCAAAAACAAGGAAAAAAAAAACCAAAAGCTTATGTAAAGTTATACAATGAAAAAAAAAAAATTTGTAAAAATTTAAAGTAGTATTTTTTATAAAATTTAAAATTATTTTACCTTTCAAGTGTCTCCTTGGGGTTTTGTAAAATTTGGTAATTGAAAAACATGCTTTTTTGGATACGTATCTAACACAACATCAGTATTTTTTGAGGGAACTAAAAACTGAAAAAGAAAAAAAAATTTTTTATTTTATTTTTCCCAATTTATTTAAATTTTTTTCATTTTTCCCCAAATTTTTTTAATTTTATTATCATATTTTTTAATTTTTTTCCTTTGAAAAATTTTTTGAAGGCCCCATTTTTGTCAAAAACTAATAAATACTTTTTAAAAATTTTAAAGTATTTCATTTTTTAAAAATTGAAAAAAATTTTTTGAAAAAGAATGCCTCTTAACACAAAAGCTATCTGAAAAATTACCCCTTTCAATTGTATAAATTTATAAAATTTAATTTTTTCCCAAAAGGGGTTTGTTTTTTTAATGCTTTTCAAAAAATGTTTTTGAAGACAAGCATTATTTAAAAACCTTCATTCAAATATTCTTTTTTCTTTTTTTTTTAAGTAAATATTTTTTTCATATTTTCCCTTAAAATTCTCTTTTGAAGGAACTTTAATTTTAAAATTTAAAAAATTTCAACCACTGGCCCGGGTCTCTTTTTTTAAAACTACTGCCCCTTTGCAAGTCCTTTTGACAGTTTGTTGATAAGTTTCGAAACATATTTTGCAGTTTTTTTTTAACCCCAAATATTGGGTCCCAAAAATTTTTTAAAATTTTTAAATCCCTTCACCCTTTTGACTATATTCAACACGGGCCGGGAAAAAGCTATAATTTTTTTCTGATTTTTGAATGCTCTTTCCGGGCAAAAAATTTTCCACGGTTTCGCCCCTAACGGCAAGGCCTTTTCAAACTGTCAATAAAAATTTGGGGAAACTGCTGAAAAAACCCTTAGAAATTCCTTTTTGGGTTTTTTATCAAATCTTTTTCTTTTTGAGTTTTACCCCTTTTGTCACCTTTTATAGGAAAAATTTTAAAAAAATCATTTTTGGAAAAAAATTCCCCTTCATGGCGCTATAACGGGTTTTGGAAACTGGGGGAGCTGCTATGTCACCAAAAGTATAATCGGGATACCCCCAAAAATAAAATTTTTTTTTAAACATGCACATTTTCATTTTTTCCCTAAAACACCCCTTTAAAAATCAACATAGGGTTTCGTCAATAAAAAAAGTAGTGTCCATAACCTTTTTCCTTACATCTAAAATTTTTCACATTAACTGATTACCCCCTTATTCAAAAAACCCAAACCTTTTCCCATCGCCGACCCTGCCCAAACTGGAATTGTTGGTTTTTGATACATGAAAATGCACCTTATTGCATTAATGAAACATTTTTACCATTTTTTCGAAAACCTTAACAAATTTTGAAAAAAAACGTTTTCCCAGTCCCGTCCCCCTTAAAAATTATCATTTTAGTCCCATCTTTTACTGAATCCCTTTTTTGTCAAAATTGAACATTGGAAAGACTTTACAGCAGGGGAACATGTATTTAGTTTGGGATCTTTTTTCGGGTTTCCCCTTTCCTAGACGTGCGGAACCAGACCCACCAAGAGAAACGGCTAAAAAAAAATCCCAACAGCGCGAAACCCCCAAAAAATTTTGCAAATGGTTTCCCGGGGAAAGAAAAAACAGTAAAAACCCGGAAAAAGAAAGGATGCACTAGAAATTTCGTTTCATTAAAATGCATGAAATGTTAAAAGTTAAAATTGTTTTATAGAATGCGAACTTGTTTTTGACTTTTAAAAGGGTTTTTACACGTGATTTAAAAAAGTGAAAAAACCAGGGGTCAATAGTCGAGAACTTTTTGGCAGTTTTTCCCGTTAAATATCAAACAGTAGAAAATCCCCCGGGAAAAAAATTGAAATCATAAAAGAGGGTCAATTTTTAAAACTTTTTAAAATTTTAAAATGATAAAAAATTTACCAACCCAAATGATTTGGGAAATAATTTTTACTAAAAATTTTAATCATTTTTTTGGGGGGTTTTGGGAAAATTTTTTAAATATATTATCAAAAAGGGAAAACACATTTTTTTGAAAAAAAAAGATTTACATTTAAGGGGTTGATAGGGGATGGGGGGGATTAGACCAATCAAGCCCCAACACCTGTGCTAAAACTGATGAAAATATCGTGTCATAATTTTCCTTTCTAGTTTCGACTTGCCTCAAACTAGCACTTAGGGTGACAAATGACGGAGATACATCGATAATTCATATTGCTACAGAATTGATAACTGACAATACCATAACGACTCGCCCTACATAAAATTATTTGAAACATGCTTTACTAGATTATCAAAATTAACAGGATTAAGAAATGAGGAGGTAAAATGTTTGTTTTGGTATGTTATGCTGAGCATTTAACTTTATAAACAGAAATTGATCATTTAGAACATTTTTATGAAGAAACTCTTTTGATTATGGATTGATTTTCCTTATCTATTTTTAGTGGTGTTGTTTTCATTCGAATTTCCCTGGGTCACCTGAATTTGAATTTTTATATCCCTAGATTAAACGTTTTTGTCAGATACATTTAGTTTAAAAAACATTCAATTAGTTATTCTTCAATTTGCCACTCCCACCCACCCACTAATTTTTATTATTTCTTCTTCTGTTAAATGTTAGAATGTAAATATATTATATGTGACTTTGCATCTATGTGCCTTTTGATGTTTTGTTTTCATTTAAATAATGTGTTATAAACATTGATGTATTCACTTGTGCGTTGCTCATTAACTTACTTTGTGTGGCAATACTTTGCTTGCATTCTTGGTCATATTGTCATTTCTTATTTTTGTATTTCTAAATCTAACATGTGATAAATTTTCATAAAATCACAAAAAAAATATATTAAAATTCTGAGCCTGTTAAAATCTTACAACAAACAGCTAATATTTTGCTTATTGACACTGCTTACTACAGACAAAAATACCCTTTTTACATGGATTAACAAGATAAAATTGGGGCGAGTGTGCATTATTGGAAGAAAAGTTAACATATCACTTATCTTCAGTTGCCTGTCCTGTTATAATATGTGTCAGATGAAAGACTAGTTCATTTATCACAATTATCAAGGGTTAATTTAAAAATAAAATATTAAATTCATACTTCCAAATTAATTAGTAAACTTCACAAACTTTTGGATTGAAGAAAATCAATTGATGCCTCTCAGTTTATTTAATTTTGAAATATATATGTCAGATTAAAGACAATTCCATTACTCCTAACACAGTCAATGTCATGTTTTCATTATTTAAGTCATGGAGAAATCTGAAGACATGTTAAAAAAAGAAGAAACTGACTCAACATCTGCTTCCAAAGAAACTGGTGTTGAAGGTGTGTCAGATATGAAAGCAGAAACTACAACAGGACATGATGTAGTCAGAAAAGAAGCAGAAAACTTGGATGACAAGATGGTTGAGAAAGAGACTTTGGGTGATGAGGTTAAAACTTCTGATGTCATTGATAAGGAATCGCAGGACTCTTCAGGAGTAGAAGATGTTGAATTAACAAAGAAGTCAGAAGACCCTGATATACAAGCAGAAAGTGTGGAGAATGAAAAAGCAGGTAAAGAAGAAGGGTATTGTAGATTTAATAAAGCACTAGTTTTGATAATGGTTTCCCTAGGTCTTTCATATCAGCCCTTTAATTTGATTTTCCATTTAATTATCTGAATTATATGTTATAATTCTTAGTTATCTATTTCTAGAACTTTTTAATGTTATTATTTAAGAAAATCCTTAAAATCTATTAATTTGGTTACTAAATTTACTGATACCTTTTCCTAACTCTGTGTTGTCAATTTTATAGCCCACCTTTCTGTGAAAAAATCCTGTAAGGATGCTTTAGAAAACTTGTTCCTTTTGCATAAAACTATGAAATTATGGACAATTTTGATTCAGTTTAGTAATACATTATATTTTGAGTTTATTTTTTCCTACTTCTTGCTAAATTCATTATAATTTGTTTACATTTGTATAATATAGATAAATGTTATGACCTTTACAATGTTGCTTTGATGGATAAGAACAACAAACACCTATACCTTAGTCTGTTAGTCAGCAAGATCAAAACACTAAAAAATGCATATCTCATTGCAGAACATTTAGTATTAAGTAAGATGTCCTTAATAGTGTTGTTTACTTTTAAAAGATAAATATAAGCTGACGAAAAATGTGAGATTCATTCAGGAATTAACATAAAAGTATCCTTCTAAACAAAACTCTCTTTTTTGAATATTTATAAAATTTACAGAATATATAATAATGAATAAATTATATCTGCTTGATTTCATTGATGAAAAGATTATACAGTCACATTGTTTGAAGAAGTACAGGTACACTCACCTAAATTCCATCTACAAGAAAATTGGTCTACTCTCAGTTTAAACATTTCCATTAATTTATAAATAAACATTTAGTACCTTTAATATTGATACTAAATGACTGACACTATATTCAAGTTAATGTCATATGACAAAAGTAGTTTACAACAATATACAATAAGAACAATTGACTTATTGTATCTTCATTCTCATTTATAACATTATCCTGTCAGTAATAGTGAACTTGATTTATCAATGGTGGATATAGAAGTGGTAATAGGATACAAGTACATGTAGAATACGTTTTGTAGGCATTCCTATTGTTATCAACAGTACATGCACTATAATTTTCTTAAATAATTAACAAATTTTTGAAAAATGAAATTTTGATAATTTTGAAATAGTGACTATAATACATATGGTGTAGTTTGACCTGAACAATAATATATTATACAGAAAATTAAAAGATGAAATAAATATATATTTATCCAAAATCAATAATATTTGACAGCTGATTAACCACAGTGTTTGTCTTTGATTGTAATATTTTTGTAACTTAGGTATATGTTGTAAAAAATAAACATTTTGTAAGTCGTCCATCACTTTAAATATAATACTTGGCTAGTTGTCTGTAATTTATTTTATGGAATTTCAAATTAATTACATAATATGATTGAAAGATTATAATAATAGACATAGATCTGTTAATGTTTACATAAAGAAAGCATACAATAAGAATGAATGTACCTGTTGTTATGCCTGGAGTATCTAAACTCTCATATGATGATGTATCATTCAGTAACACTTATATAAAAAGGAAATTAATTCAACTTTGTAGTATAATTGCTAATCTATATTTAAGGTATATCTTTACCCTTAGACAACAGTTGTATTTCACAGCAGCAACACTATAATATATTTCTCTGACATATTTTGCTGTTATGAAGAATAAAGAAATATAAAGAGATACATGTACATTTATAGTTAAATGTTTGCTATAAATAAGTTATAACTTGAGTATTTGTTTAAGAAGTTAAGTAAGTACCTTAAAGTGTATAAAAGAACGAAATAAACAATTTTTTTGTCGTTCATAAAGGAAGAATGTTTATGATTAAATTATTATCAAGGTGCCATGTAAAGACAGCTTTAATATTGCAATGGCAGCCCAGGTTCATTATGAACACATACCTGTCAAGTGACGTTGCACAAGCAGGTGAAAAGCTTAACTAACTGATTACTTTATATACAAAACAAGGAAAATTGAAACAAGGAATTATCAAATCAGATGTATGTTTTTATGTAATTTAGTTCCAATGCACCTTTTTTCATGCATTTACATCTGCAGAATGGGTGGTCAGACTTAGTAAATCCCTTGATCTGCAGGCTTGTGCTTTAATGTGTACTTGTGCTTCTGCAATTGTTAATGCACTAAAAAGGTGGATAAAACAATGATATAATGCTGTGGTATAAGTCAACGTTCTATGAGCTTTGTCAGCAGACGTCATAATTCTCAAGTTATGTAATAGCTGATATAAAAATACTTGATACATTTTTATGATATGTCTTTAGTTTAAGTTTTTGAAATGTTTGTTTATGAGTGAGGGTAAACTTCTACCTTAATCATGACAGACAACACTTCTCTTTAATGATGCCCATTGAAGAAGTTATTCACTGCAAATCTAATGTAAAACGTAGCTTTATTACTATGCAGTTAGTTGATATTGCAATATCCATTTGTGATGTTTATTCAAAGTACTTCTCTTGTAGTATGCCAAGTAAGTGTTTATGTTATCATTTAAGGACACTCTTAAGATAACATAAATTAGCACTTGTCAAACACTTAACATGTAAAATTGGTTAACTTTATTAACACCTTTAATAATATACAATATATGTATTTCTATTATAACTCTCACTTGGTGTCTACTACTGCCTGTGGGTAGTTAAAGGGTTCTAAATTTCCTGATTTAATCTTGTTTTATCAATTATTAGTGTCCTGTTTTAATTTTAAAGTTACAGGAAATATTATGAAGACAGATGTGTTATCTATATAATAATTAAAAGTCACAATGATAATGTGATAAGTTAACAGCTTCCGTTATCTCTAAATTTAAGGGGTAAAATAGGATCTGGATGATAAAGATCTTGATACTGGTAGTCATTCTTGGTTATATCCCTGTTTTATTGGTCATCTTAAATTGAATGTTTATATATTAGTTGATATAGTAATATATGGTTGTCTGTAGCAGATGTTTTAAAGACTTAAACATTTATCATAGGATATTCTGTTAAGCTTTTTTTTTAAATATGTGAAACTGCTTTATTGTTAAACCTTACAGTCACTATAAATAATTAATCATTGTGTGAAATAGTAATTATAATTTACAGTAAACTACAAGGATTTATATAAAATTATTTTGTCACTGTTATAAGCATGATGATGAAAGTTTTAGGAGATGCCTTTATACATACACTGTTAGTGTTTGAAAGCAAGAAACTGTCATATGGTAATTATATGTTTGTTGATAACGTACGTGAATTATTTTACCCAGAATTGAATATAGATTTGAGCAAGGAACCAGCTCTAGATGATGCTGGTAGGAACCAGATGTTTGAAGAAGGTTTGAAGCTGGATAAAGAAGGAAAGAAAGTGGAAGCATTGAAACGATATCTAAAATGTCTTGTCGGTTTGAAAGAGAATTCAAGATTTGCATTGCTGCCTCAATGCTTGCGAAATGTAAGTAAAACTAAATGATATGCCAAGATATATTTAAAACAATGTGTCTATGTCTTTTTATTAAAACACTAAACTTTTGTATCATGAAATATAGAATTTTACTGTAAATTTATTTTGAAATGATTATATAGTTTTTGGATTCCATGGTTCATATTATTTTCTAATTTTCTAAAACAATGTTACATTTATGTCTTATAATAGAATAATTTTTTATTTATAAAGGTATTTATACCATCTTTATTTAGTATTGTTGCCATAATTTATCACAGTCTTCACTTACCAGAACAGAGATGTAGATCAAGACAAAATAAATAAACTTAGCTTGATTGAATTAAAGGTCAGTTTATATGTCAGATGAATATTCTTTAATTTGCAGATTGGTGATATCTATTATGGTAGAGATGAATGTATCCTTTTACTGATAAAACTTTTGTCTCATGATAAAAAATACACTCAAATTGATTGCTAAGTCATTATTTTGTTGTAACATAAAAATTATATACCTCTATGTAACTGTTAGATTCTGAGGCTGTGTAATTTAGTTTAATTTACTTTACAAAGCATTCATTAAGGATTGAATTTGCTGATATGACATATCTTGTAATATGCTAGTTGTGGGTTATTGACTGTATCCAGATGCTCTATTGCACTCAAAATATTTCCACTGCAGTCTTCCTTCACTAATTAAAGCTAGTAAATCACCATATTTCCTTAACAGTGTCTGTGTGGTTTTAAACTGAACACATTTCTCTTATAACATGTAATTTTGATTGTTTTTGGAGGTTTCGGTATTAAAATGTTAGCCAGTTTTCCTTAACTTAGATGCTAGTTGATAAAGCAATCAGTTTTATCCAGGCAGAGAAGTTATATTATGAAAGTGTTCTCATAGATGACACAGAGTTACAGAAACATATAGGTAAGTGAAGCACTTTAAAGTACAAGTTTCATGTCAAATGAACAATTTTCTGCTGATCAGTGGGCAACTGGTATCCCTAGGAAGCTGTTCTTTCTACTAAAGGCAGCCCACAATGTGGCACCATGGATTTATACTGCCCTCCAAACTACCCATAGTGATACATGTTGAAAAAAAGTGAAGCAATATGAAGTGAATTCTTTGATGAAATAAGTATTGCTCTTAATGGGGTTTGAACTTAGAACTTGAACTCTGAACTCACAGTCTTAAATATGTGTTCTACCACTGAACCACTGCTTCCCACTGTGTATCCTCAAATACGTTCACATTTGTACCACAAAATGAAAGAAATATTTAGCAATCTTATAACAATCATCAAAGAGTTTTGAAACTTGTCTAAAGGAAGTACTTTCAATTTATAGTTTCTTATGAAATTCTTTACTACAGATTTTAAAGCTGTGCAAGAACCCTATAACTTTTATATGTTTAACTGAAGTAACTCGTATTCAAATGAAGTAACTTGTGTAAATTCAAATGAAATATGTTTTGTATTCAAATGAAGTTACAGCTTCTTTATTTAAGTGAAGTAGCTTGGTATTCAAATGAAGTGTGAAGTCATGAAGTGTATTTATATGAAGACAGTTGTATTTTTAAATGAAGCTACTTGTATATTTAATTGAAGTAACATATATATTTAGATGAGATGAAGTATATATAAATAAAGTAACATATATATTTAGATGAAGTAACATATATTTAGATGAAATGAAGTATATATAAATGAAGTAACATATATATTTAGATGAGATGAAGTATATATAAATGAAGTAACATATAATTAGATGAAGTAACATATATATTTAGATGAAGTGAAGTATATATAAATGAAGTAACATATATATTTAGATAAAGTAACATATATTTTTAGATGAAGTAACATATATATTTAGATAAAGTGAAGTATATATAAATAAAGTAACATATATATTTAGATGAAGTAACAAAGCAGGGTGCTGGTGATACAGCTGACACTAATATTGATGCCCTCAGAGCCTCAGAATATGAGCAGCTTGCTAAACTATGTCTCGATGAAAAACAGTGAGTTGTTTTTAATTTTATTCAACATACTGAACTGCAAAGCTTTAATTATGATATATAAAAGAATATGATATTTTTCTGCCAGATATTCACACAAGTTTGAAACAGATCACATGTTTAACTAGGATAAGATAAGGCAACAACTTGATATGTTTATAACAGACAAACACATTGTATTTTCACATTAATTAGATATTCATTTATTAGATAATAAGGATCTAAAGATAACATAAATCAGAGATTGTATATATGACTATACATTGTATATTCTTCTGTCTATAGTTAAATCTATCTACTATGCTCTTTCAGACCACAGTTAGCACTAGAATATGCAGGCAAGGTAAGACTCCTTACATATTCACAATTATTTAGATACATGTATGATACATGTATATGTTAAAACTTAAAATGTTTTAAAGTGTGTAGTTCTCTCTTGTGTATGAGTGTAGAATAAAAGTGCCTCAACCAAAAGCCTCTCTATTGACTTTTAAAAAGCTGAGTGTTTTTTGTCCAGCCACTTATCTATAAAATATACCATCTTCAAGGCATGACATGACTATTAATTACATATCTAATTGTTGTTAAATTTGTGATAACATGTCATACTCGTTGGTTTGTAGTATTGTTTATAGAATTAAGTTTACAATGTTTGATTTTAAATTGTAAAAAGCTTGCAAATTGAAATAAGATATAGAGCAAAGGTGGGTAATATCGACCCTTTAACGCGATACTATTCAATGAAATGTTGATTTAAGAATTTAGTAGCATATGACCTAAGCGTATGAACCAGCTTTTTCTATTGGTTGTTTCCAACCAATACGGTCGTCCGTTTTACCTTCTTAATGTCAGTTGCATATGTTTCCAATATACACGTGACACTGTCAGTATCGACCCCTTTCGGGTAATATCGACCCCCTTTCAATTTTTTAAAAATAAACACAATTCAAGGTTAAGATTTAAAAGAAAATGTATCGTTAATAACACAGTGCGATTATCAACCCAACAGTTTCATTATAATTATACTACATGTACATAATTTATGTTTATTAAATATAAACAAGGCCTTAACACATATCAGGCAGTTTATAAACCTCTAAAACATGATGAATAACTTTTTTTTTTAAACTAAGAATACAAACGCAAATTACACTTGAAGATATCTATTTCATCCTCTTTTTTTCTTTTCAATTTCAATTTATCTTAAATATAACAGTTTCAAGCAACAACAACAAAAACAACAGTTGCATATGCACGAGTTCATTTCACTCACACGCATTGCACACAAAGACAAACGTGCTTTGATTGACCTCTGAATCTGTGTAGCCGGCACACACTACATGCCATTGCCGACAACATGATTCACAAGAAATCCATTTTTCTTGTAATTCTTCAGAAGATCTCCAGGTTTTGCATACAGGACAAACATCGACAAAGCTCTCCTCAAAATCATCACTGTCGTGATCCATGTATGGAATATCCATATCTGACATATCTGTGTCAGATTCAGAGCTATAAGTTACCTTTTTACTCTTTGAGTTTTGCTTCTTTGGTTTTGATGATAATTTCTTTTTAAGGTTTTCCTGTTTTTCTCGCTTGTGTCTTTCTTTATCTTCTTCTTTCTGTTTTCTTTTAAGTTCTCTCTGACACTTTCTTTCTTCCTTCAACCTCGCTAATTCTTTCTTACGATCTTCTCTTTCTTTCAACATACTTAATGCTTCATCCCCTGATAATGCTTTCGGCAACTTATGCCGGAGCTGAACAATTTTCTTTTTTGGTTTTACTTCTGGCACACGTAAGTATTGAAATGCAGAAGATACCGTTGCCGGGTTTTTTGATAGACCTTTTGATGAAGAAGGTTGGGGAATAGGCAGTAAAGGACAAACGACTGATGATACAGCATCTGAAGTATTAACCACAGGGGACACAAGGGTGTTTGATTGTATTATAGCAGAAATAGGACTGGCAGGAAAGACTACTGAATGAGTGCTTACAGGCAGTTGTTGTGCAGTGTCAACAAATTGGGAATTTACGTCGGGTTTTACATACGTGTTACTAGACGTAATTGAAATATCATTGTTGACAGTAGAAAGGGTAACCGTGCTTGATAAAGAGCCTACTACATTGACAATCACATCGGATACATGGCTTGAATTTGCAGCTTCAACAGAGTTTGATTCAGAATCAGTAACAGTGTTTTGCGTTACTGTTTGAGTGTTAGAAACTAATTTAGCAGGACCAAGTTTTGTCTTGTCTATACCTTCGGGACTAAAGGGGAACAAACCTGATCTACGAAAGCCATTTGCGGCATTTTGGAAGGTAGCTACCTTACTCCAAGCTTGCTTAAATATGCCTGGAAAGTCTTTCTTTGTGACCGCCTGGCCAATGTTTGACATTTGCCAGGTTTTCACAGCCGCTTGCCAGGCGGACTTCAAGGGTGAGAAGAGTCCTACATCGGCTGCCTGCATGAGATGTGTAGCATTTGGCAAAAGACAATACAATATAATTTGATGATCTTTACAAAATTGAGCAGCCTCTAGTGTCATGTGGGTGGAATGTCCGTCCACAAAGAGGAGTACAGGACGTGCAATATTTTTTTTTAATTAAGGACTGGTCAAGGACTTTTTAGAAACTCAACAAAAGTGTCCGAAGTCATCCAACCATTAGGGGTTGTCGTATAAATGGCTTCCGGGAAACCTGCTAAACCAACATCACGGAGTCTTTCCCCAGGAAAAAGAATCATAGGTGGCAGGTATTCCCCAAAGCCATTGAAAGCCAGCCATAACAGTAATTTGCATTTTAGTGCTAGCTACAACATTATATACATGTTTTGCACCAGACGGAGCCAAAACTTTGCCAGGTTTTACTGACAGCGGGAAACCGCTTTCATCAGCATTGTAAAGACGGTGCGGGTCTTTTAATAATGCATCATAAGTGTCAGGAAACTCCTTTTGTAAATACATATAAACACCAGTATACCAATTATTTACTTTTTCTATTGTAACTGCCGCGCGCTCATGCCCGAGAGACATAGGCTTTCTAAATGCCATCTCAGGATGACGCCTTTGAAAGCCAACAAACCAGTCCTTACCCGGTAGATTATCACGGAAAGGTGTTTCACGTCCATCGAGGTTTAAAATATGCTGGACTTCATAAACAAACTCCTTCTTTGTAAGCGGGTAACCAATATCACACATCAAATTAGCGTAAGCTACAAGTACGTTTTCCTCTGCCGGCGTGAGTACAGTTTTCCGTCCAAGAGAAGTAGACTCAGGTACTCGACCAGAAAGTTTGTCCAATAGCGTTGTCTTAGGTATGCCGTAAGCCTTTGCCGCCCCTTTCCTACTCATTTGGCCACTTCTAACCATCTGTATGGCTAAAGCCATTGCCTCGGGCTTGTACTGCACCCTTTTCTTAGCACAAATCTGCGATGACATTCTTTTTCAAACATATACCTGAAAATGAGAAAAAAAAAGAAAATAGAAAAAAATCTATACTTTGTCAATGCAGTATATTTAATTGTATGTCACTATGTGTATATTTTAAACATGTTTAGATCTAGTCATGCAAATAAGAAATATCATCTTGCCCCAGCAAAGAATCATTTCAATTACAAGATTTATGTTATATTTTACGATGGGGTCGATATAACTAGATTTTGAAATAATATTCTGTTTATTTTGACCCCCGCGTGATCCTCTGTAAGTAAAAGCAATAACCTTGAGATCATTTTAAATCACATTTAAAGACTATATACAGTTATCCGGAGTTAAAAATATCTAAACAAACAACATTTTACAAATATGACAAGCATGAAATAATAACTCCCTCACCTTAACGGAGCTGTTTAAAACTTGTTCGATTCTACAATGGAAAATGTCGTGAATCTTGTTTACTCAGAGAACATTCAAAAATGGCCGCGTAAAACGTAATCGATGACATCATCAATAATAATTGATCGACAGCAAACATAACCTTAATTGTAAACTCATTAATGAAGTTTAACGGGAGGGGGTCGATATTATACGAGGGTCGGCATTACCCACCGTTGCTCTAGTGAAAGTAATCTTTGCCACCATTATAGAGCCAGGCCAGCCTACTCATACATGCAGTCTGACCAACTTCAGATTTTATCTTAATATCCCAAAAAATAATAATAGACAGTTCCAAAATGGTATTTAAAAAATTCAGCAGGTTAAGGGTTAAGCAATGGCCTACATCACGAAGAAACACTTTAATGCATGTAATATACCCAAAGTTACACATGTTTTGTGTTTTATTTTGAACAGTGTACAAAGTTAAGACAGAAAGTGTATGGTGACAATCATCCCCTTGTTCAACAGAGTCTTGATTTCTTTGCTACAGTCTATGCAGAGGTTGGAAAAGTTCAATATACAGGTATGAAATGATGAAAACCAATTCATTGAAAGTTCGTTATTATCTCATATTAATTTGCAAATACTTATCTTATCTTTCAACCTTTCTAATTCCATATTGTTTTGTTAGTTCCATCTCAATATTACTTTTTTCCATTAGTCCAACTCAACATTACTAATTCTTGTACCTCTGCCACATAATGTGAAGGAGGCTATACTAGAATCATTTTGTCATATCAGTCAGTCGGTAGGTCAGTTGTCCACTTCCATTGTGTCCTCTCTATAAATCCTGAAATCCTTGAACTTGAAGGATTTTCTACAAACTTGGCTCAAATGTTCACCTAAACAAATGGTGTGCAGAATCCATGCCACTTCTGTGCAGGCTCAAGGTCAAATATCAGACAGTTACATGTTTGCTATATAAGTCATATACCAGAAGAATCATTTTCTTTAAACTTGGCTCAAGTTTTTCCCTCTACAAGGCAATGTGCAAAACCTATGCTGGCTTTGTGCTGGCGTATGATCAAGGTCACCCGTAAAGGTCAAATTTCTGATCATTTGTGTCGCTTTATAAATCCTGTACATGTTGAAGGTTGGGGGTTTTCATCAATCCTTTAACAGCTTTAGTTCTTTGTTGTTTTGATATTTGATAGTGTCATTTTAACACTGTTTACATGCCAGAGTATAATTAATTTTGTGTTTCAGTCTGCCTGACAACTTTGATCATTTTCTGATCAAAAACGACTTTGATCATTTTCTGAACAAATTTGTAGTCATTTATAGTTAAAGACATTATTATGACATTAAAGTAAAATCTTTCAGGTATTATAATCTGTCGTGTAAATTAAAAAAAGTATAACAATATCTTATATTACAATAAATTATATGTAATGAATTATTAGTTTAAAGAGGCACAATAGGGTATTTTGACATTTGTTTAATTTGCTTGGAGAGATTTAAGCTTGTTAGTTATAAAATTAGAGAAGAAAACATAATAATTACTGGCTACATTAGATTTCACCTCCTGTTTTTAACTGTTATTGATTTTTCTTCCTCTTTTAATACAAGGACATTTTTTATCATAATGATGTAAGATTATTTTGTAATTTGTTTGTAGTCAAGCATTTTACAATTGATCATTAAACATGGTGATAATAAAGACTACAAAAATAAAGATGACTTGTATCATAGCATTTATTGAATAGAGTGGAAACTTTTGACTGAGCTAATATGATGTACACACAACAGGCTATATTTTTTAAATGTATATTTTTATAAGAAAGTGTTATTCCTCTCCAAAATAAACTGTAAATTTTCAAAATTGCATAGAGAAATGGTAAAGCTACGAGACTAAATGTTCCATTTACCGATATCAACAATACAGGTGTATGTGCAACGTCATATTTTCTATATGGTTAAGTAGAAGTTTTCTTCAATGAAAGCCTTGTTTGTAGTGGATGCAAAGGCACAGAGCCTTAATCTTAAAGTTAATTCTGGTAGTTAAGATAGGTATAAAATAATAAGCTTTTTTCTAAAGAAGTCATTATAGTGTATAACAAGATCAGTAAAGGCAATATATGTATACCTGTATATCGTCAGCTTAGTGCAGTATCGGGATAAGCCCTTCTAAATTTTACAGGAGTTAACCAGTTATTGCACTACGGTGATGACATATATACTACTACTTTTGCAAACATCAGATTTGTCTGATCACTTTGCAGTTTAATTCAAGTAGGATACTAATTTAATGGTGATACATGTAAAATCATTTTATGTAATTCTAGAGACCAGTTTTAGCTTAATCTAATGAAGGTTTGTTTAATAATTTGTAAAACAATTGTTTGTTGTAGAATCAATGAGTAAATATGCCAAGTCTGGGGAACCAGATATTACCTCCCCTACTGTGTCATGGGAGACAACTCCAGCAGACACTCCTGAACCTACCTCAATATTGAGAAAAAGAAAGAATACTGAAGGTGAGAAATTAATTTGGTGTTTAGTTTAGAGATAATTGTTGTTTGAATGGAAGAGAAAGTAAACTATTATAAAAATGATTTTTACTTTTATCATTTTATTCATTCCATTGTTAAATTTTAGATTTTACAGATAGATATTGCTTTCAAAGGAGATTTAAAGTTTGCTTAAATTTTAGGGTAATAATTGGAAGTATACTTGATTGTTATGTTGTATGGAATTAAAAATTCATGCTAATCATTAGAAATTTAAACAATGAAAAAAAATGACATGCTTATAAGAATGATACATGTTATCTATCTGTTAAAACTAACTTAACTTAATTGTTGCAAGAATTTTGTAATGGGACATACACAGGTATGAAATGGAAGCTAATTTAAGACTTTTCAATATTGAACCCAGTAGTACAATTAAGTACATGTAGACACTAGTCATACTTGGTTCTTATGCTTTAGACATGTCAGTGTTACTGCTAGCATGCTGAGATATATGTAATATAGTTTGTCATTATTACACAAACTTTAATTTTAAACTATACTTTTGTTGTATATAGGTGACAGAGAAAAGAAGGTTAGGTTTGATGAATCACAAGTGCCTTCAGATGCCGAGCTAGATAGAGGTAGGTATCAAATTGTAGAGGCAGTTTATTTCTTTGCTAATATTAGTATACAAGTATGATAGATAACATTTTGATTCACCATTAAACCAATTCATTAACACTCAACATTGAAAGAATTGATAGATTGGCAGTTGTCTGCAATTGTTTGTAGTCAGGTTTAGATTCATATTGTTTCAGCCATTGACAAAAAAAACTGTTAAGAAGCAATAATACCCAGTTATATAAGTAATTTTCCTGTCACTTTAACTCCAAGTCTATAATATTTTGCGGCCAGACATAGTCTTACAGTGACATTTCTAAGTATCTGATAAATGGCATTTTGTTTTTAAGCTGTACTAACATGTTTTGTTTTCTTTCTTTATTTTCAGAGGAGAAATGTGCACGCTTTGTGCTCCTGTGTTTCTTTTTTATTTTGTTGTTTGTTCTGTTCCTTCTTGGCATTTATTTGTTCTGCAGACTACAATCACCATCAACATGTACAAATGTTGGTTATTTCTTCTCGGACACGGTCATGCAGATAAAATTCTGGTATTACAAATTTTTCTCCAGTGCCAACTCTAAATACACATAGCTTTCACGAGGGAGGTCACAAGAACAGCTGTGGTGAAACCGAGTCTCAAAGATTCAAACTTGGCTCTTTTTAACATTATGTTGTTTTGTTTTATATCTACATGAATATGAAATATTTTTCATACAATACAAATATGTTGTTCCTGGTGAATCAAAACTGAAAATTTAGTCACAATTATTAGTTGTATTGTTTTGTTTTGAAGTATGTTCAAAATTTAGTCTTTTTTTGTAATTTTTTAAACAAGTACTTTTTACACTGTTTCAAATTTCTTGCAATATAGATGTTTTTAATGAAATGAAATTTCATATTAAAAGAAAGTCAGGAAAATAATTTTATTAGAGCTTATTATGCCCCCATTTTGAAAAAAAGGGGGTATATTGCTTTGCACTTGTCGGTCCGTCGGTCCGTAGACCAAATGGTTTCCGAGTGATAACTAAAGAACCCTTAGGCCTAGGAACTTCAAACTTGGTATGGTGATTGGTCATGACCAGTAGATGACCCCTATTGATTTTGGGGTCAAGGGGTCAAAGGTCAAGGTCACATTGACCTTGAAAGCAAAAACGGTTTCCGATCAATAACTAAAGAACCTTAAGGCCTAGGAACTTCAAACTTGGTATGGTGATTGGTCATGACCAGTAGATGACCCCTATTGATTTTGGGGTCAAGGGGTCAAAGGTCAAGGTCACATTGACCTTGAAAGCAAAAACGGTTTCCGATCAATAACTAAAGAACCTTAAGGCCTAGGAACTTCAAACTTGGTATGGTGATTGGTCATGACCAGTAGATGACCCCTATTGATTTTGGAGTCAAGGGGTCAAAGGTCAAGGTCACATTGACCTTGAAAGCAAAAACAGTTTCCGATCAATAACTAAAGAACCTTAAGGCCTAGGAACTTCAAACTTGGTATGGTGATTAGTCATGACCAGTAGATGACCCCTATTGATTTTGGGGTCAAGGGGTCAAAGGTCAAGGTCACATTGACCTTAAAAGCAAAAACGGTTTCCGATCAATAACTAAAGAACCTTAAGGCCTAGGAACTTCAAACTTGGTATGGTGATTGGTCATGATCAGTAGATGACCCCTATTGATTTTGGGGTCAAGGGGTCAAAGGTCAAGGTCACATTGACCTTGTAGGTAAAAACGGTTTCCGATCAATACCTAAAGAACCTTAAGGCTTAGGAACATTAAACTTGGTATGGTGATTGGTCATGATCAGTAGATGACCCCTATTGATTTTGGGGTCAAGGGGTCAAAGGTCAAGGTCACATTGACCTTGAAGGTAAAAACGGTTTCCGATCAATAACTAAAGAACCTTAAGGCCTAGGAACTTCAAACTTGGTATGGTGATTGGTCATGATCAGTAGATGACCCGTATAGATTTTGGGGTCAAGGGGTCAAAGGTCAAGGTCACATTGACCTTTTAATTAAAAACGGTTTCTGATCAATAACAAAAGAACCCTTAGGCCTAGGAACTTCAAACTTGGTATGGTGATTGGTTATGACCAATCAGATGACCCCTATTGATTTTGGCGTTAAGGGGTCAAAGGTCAAGGTCACATTGACCTTGTAGGTAAAAACGGTTTCCGATCAATAATGAAAGAACCGTTAGGCCTAGGGACTTCAAACTTGAGATGGTGATTGGTCATGATCAGTAGATGACCCCTATTGATTTTGGGGTCTAGAGGTCAAAGGTCAAGGTCACATTGACCTTGTAGGTAAAAATGCTTTCGGATCAATAACTTAAGAACCCTTATGCCTAGGAACTTCAAACTTGGTATGGTGATTGGTCATGACCAGCAGATGACCTATTGATTTTGGGGTCAAGGGGTCAAAGGTCAAGGTCACATTGACCTTGTAGGTAAAAACGGTTTCCGATCAATTAACTAAAAACGCTTAGGCCTAGGAACTTCAAACTTTGTGTGATGATTGGTCATGACCAGCAGATGACCCCTATTGAGTTTTAGGTGAAGGGGTCAAAGGTCAAGGTCACATTGACCTTTTAAGTAAAAACGGTTTCTGATCAATAACTCAAGAACGCTTAGGCCTAGGAACTTCAAACTTGGTATGGTGATTTGTCATGACCAGCAGATTACTCCTATTGATTTTGGGATCAAGGGGTCAAAGGTCAAGGTCACAATGACCTTGTAAATAAAAACGGTTTCTGATCAATAACTAAAGAACCTTAAGGCCTAGAAACTTCAAACTTGGCATGGTGATTGGTCATGACCAGCAGATGACCCCTATTGATTTTGGGGTCAAAGGTCAAGGTCACATTGACCTTTTAAGTAAAAACGGTTTCTGATCAATAACTCAAGAACGCTTAGGCCTAGGAACTTCAAACTTGGTATGGTGATTTGTCATGACCAGCAGATTACTCCTATTGATTTTGGGATCAAGGGGTCAAAGGTCAAGGTCACAATGACCTTGTAAATAAAAACGGTTTCTGATCAATAACTAAAGAACCTTAAGGCCTAGAAACTTCAAACTTGGCATGGTGATTGGTCATGACCAGCAGATGACCCCTATTGATTTTGGGGTCAAAGGTCAAGGTCACATTGACCTTGTATGTGTAAACGGTTTCCGATCAATAATAAGAGAACCCTTAGGCCTAAGAACTTCAAACTTGGCATGGTGATTGGTCATGACCAGCAGATGACCCCTATTGATTTTGGGGTCAAGGGGTCAAAGGTCAAGGTCACATTGACCTTGTAGGTAAAAACGGTTTCTGATCAATTTACTAAAAACGCCTAGGCCTAGGAACTTCAAACTTTGTATGATGATTGGTCGTGACCAGCAGATGACCCCTATTGAGTTTTGGGTCAAGGGGTCAAAGGTCAAGGTCATGACCAGTAGATACTTTATAACCCTTATTAATTGTTTGATCACTGGGTCAGACGTCATGCATAATAACCTTATCACATGACTAATTGGCTGCTGATAGGGGGCATACATGTTTTACAAACATATCTTGTTTCATGATATTTTGTTACTTAAAAAGAAAAAAGATATTTAGAAAGAAAAAAGAAAATATGTCCTATGAAATCGCTTTAAGATGTTAATTTCTATTGAATCCTTTTTATCAATGATTTCAAGAGTTCAATGTATTGAATGTTTGTATGGTATATAAGAATCTTTATGCATGTGTATATAGTTTTACTTACATTGATATGTTAACTATGTTGATGTCGTGCACAAATGGCAAGGCTTTACCTGTGATACAATTACTATTCAGAGGACGAACATTTTATGGTGTTTCAATTTTAACTTGTTGGTGAAATAGTATCCATGGTGTTAAGATTCAGAGGTTCTTTTTCTGTTGAAAGTACTCAGTATCAATTTTGATTACCTATACACCTATACTAGAACTTTAGATCAAGCGCTAGATTAACCAGTAACTCATTGCCATCCCTACAAAAAACTTTGCTGTTTGAAATGATTTCTTTTAACAGATAATGTGTACATTCTTAATTTTGAATCATGAATAAATTGTCAGACAAACACACGTCAACCACAGGTTTCAATATACATTCTCTACCTTCTTTTGTTCAGGTTTGAAGTCAGTGCTTTCATAAACAACTGTATCTACTTATAATGTATGAAAGTTTTCCACCCATAAAAGAATGCTGTCTGTACTTAAAAGAAGGCAAAGTTAATACGAATTGTCTGAATATAGAAATGATTGTACATATGTATGTTTTTATGACATGTAAATTGTAACTTTTCTCTGTGATAAGGGTGGTACTTTATACAGTACACCCTACTTGTGATTTCTGTCTAAATATTCAGATATTTCAGGCTTTATATTTGTTATCACTGTGCAGCTTATTAATGTTTTGCTATGTAAGAATGTGTTGTTGTTGTTGCTTTTTTTTTTTTTCTTTTTTTTTTTTTTTTGTTAATTGAATTTATTCATTTAAGTTATTTCAGTTTATGTTAGGAGAGTTGAGTAAGTGTGTTGTTTATTACAGATTATGTTTATTCTACAGACATTCAGATGTGTTTTGCTCATAATATATAATACAACAAAAAATTAGATAACTTTTTGGTAAGAAATGCTCAAATACCAATGTTGATAAAGTAAATGAGTAAAGAAAAACTTCAATATCAATATATTTATAATAGTGAAAAACTGAAACCTGTTGTTTAATGGATTTTTGTGTCACTTGCAGCAGAGTAGCTGCAACAATTAGGTATCACTTCTCCTCCACCTGTCCGTCTGTCCGTCACAAAAATTGGCTGGACTACTCCTCAGAAACATCAGGTGCAGTTTCATCCAAACTTTACAGGAATGATCAGTACCAAGTCTAATCATGCATATTGTCGATATTTCCAGGTTCAATGATTTTTGCCCAGTAATGGTTCAAGTATTTGGGAATATTACACAAGTTTTCAGGTTTAATGATTTTTGAATAAAAATCATGATTTGCCCTGTTAATGATTTTTGTGTTTCTTGCTACACAATAGCTGCAACATGCAATTGGCTATCATCAGGTGACACATGTGATCACTGATCTTGCTTGTTTGTTTTATAGTGGATTTTTTTCTACTTATCTACAATATTTATGTATCATGTCATGTGCAAGTGCACTTATATTTGATTTACTTTATGACTTACTCAAAGTAGTGACAATTTTATAGCATTTTGTTGTTTTTGTTAGTGACTGACTAATTTTCTAGTAATTTTCTAGGTGTTTTATTTATGAAATTAGGAATAATATATTTACTAATACAGTATTTACAAATGATCCTTAAATACTTACATTTATATCATTAGATTAATATTTTAGCTGAATCAGCATTATTTACTTAACCCATTACTTCATGAGCATTTTGTGAAAAATGGCTGTTTTCATTGAAAAGTCTCCCGTTACAAGTTCAAATTGCTATAATACTATAAAAACTGCTTCAACACTAATCAAACTTGGCACAAATGTTGACTGGACCATTGCCCTTGCAACAACATGCTCAGGCTTAAATTTTCTGTTACCATGGCAACGAGGGGACATCTCAAAATTGCCAAAAATCACTATTTTGCGTTGATTTTTTCCATCAAAATTGATTTTTAAGTGTTGCAACTTCTCAATGGATTGAGATAGAGTGAAATGCTTTTCATAGTTGGTTACATGTTACCTTATGATCAATCTGGGGTCATTTATAGCCTCTCACCAGTCCAAAATTTTCTAGGCGTGTATATCGCGTAATGGGTTAAATGACAACCTTAACATGAATTTTTCCTTAAATGCTTTTGTATAATAAAACAATTCTCAAGGTTTATTTTAACCTTGTGTATCATTTACAGTGAAGATTTACAGTAAAGATAAAATTTCTATATATTTTCAGCAAAATGTTTTCTACACAATACTATGTAATAATCCTGAATTAAGATCTTTCCTTATGATTCCCTAAATTTTTCAACATTTTTTTAACCTCAGTATAGATTTCAATCCAGATTATCTCTTGGCTGTTGTTCAAGACGCTGCATTTTTCTGTAAAGTTTTTAATGAAATTGTCATGTGTTAAGTCTGATGCCTATAGGTTGGCAGGCATTATGTTTTTCTTCTGTGTGTGTGCAAGTTGAAAACTTGTACTTTAATTATAAATTTCCAAGAGACTATATGTATTATCCCACTGTATTTCTGAATGGAAGCTTCATTTTGACTGATTTAAATATAACCTTCATGTTTTAGTGACTTTATCTTCCAAGGTCAAAATTTTCAAAATGAAGAAGAAATTTGAGCTGTGTCATGACAAAACCAAACTTGTGGGTTTGCGACCAGCATGGATCCAGACCAGCCTGCGCCTCCACGCAGTCTGATCAGGATCCATGCTGTTCGCTATCAGTTTCTCTACTTGTAATAGGGTTTGTAAGCGAACAGCATGGATCCTGATCAGACTGCACGGATGCAAACCAACTATGTTGGTTTTGCCATGATGCAGCTCATTTATTTTAATTAAATTATTTTTAACAGATTTGAGATTATGGCTTTTGTTTTTAAAGACCATGTCATGTTTAATTAAGATTATTTATTTTCATTTTTTTCTTGTCAGATTATCAGTTTGAAGTGAAAGGTTTTGCTTGATTCTCTTCAGGTTTAAAATAATATAATGGAAAGTGTCTTTGTTATTTATGTAAGTTCATGTTAAATGATGTTGTATTGTAAGATATTAAATGCTGTATGTTTTCTTAATTGATGAACTCAAACATGTTGTGTATTTTTTCAGCATTATACTTTATTATGTAACAGAAGCTGGCCTTCTTGTTACTCGCAAGATATGTGTTCTTATATTGTTTATATAAATATAGTTAGATATGTATTCTATCGAATAAGTTATTTACAATCATTTTCAGTAATCATGTACCAACAAATGTTATCCCCTATAGTTGTAGAAAAACAATAATGATGTCATGGGATTATCAATTAGAGATAACAAATTTTGATAAATTTTTTTATACAATGTTAATTTATTTATACTATACTATATGATAGAATATGCATGATATAATTATGTAATATTGTTCTGAATTACTGTCCTGAATTAGTTAAAATAAACTATTGCTTAAATATCAGTTTAGTTTTGCATACCTTAGAAAGTGTTAGGTATCTTGGTCAGTTACTGTAACAGTAATCAATGCATTTACCATAATGCTTTTTTATTTAAATCCAGATTTAAGAAACTTTAAGCTGGATTGATCAAGCATTAAAGAAAATAAGTTTCTGGATACTTTTTTCCCCTGCATGCTGTAACAATCTATGCTTATAATGTTGCTTTGTTTCATCTGTCTGCTCTCCCCTGTTTCACAATTAAATGTACATGTCAGTAGCATACAAAGCTTACCAAAATTCACATTGTATTTTTGTTTTAATTCCAATAATTTATTTAATGAATAATGTATCTTAAAAAGTTTCCACTTTCATTTTGAGTTTAATTTTTAGAGAAGTTAGGTTTAACCTATGACTTTTAACACAATAATACTTTTTTTGATTTCTTGTATA